AATCGTGCCTGGAAACTGAGGCAGGCTCAGAGGAGGGAGGGGCTGCCAGCAGGTGTCTTAGGAACAAGCTGTTCGAAGGCTGTTTTCCCCTTGCTTTCCTGTCTTCTGATCCTCTGCCCTCAGACTAGGGTGCATATCTGAGAGTAGGAAGCTGGAATGTAGGAGGCCTGGCCCTTCTCCCTCCCTGGGGGAGTGTGTGGCAAAGGGCTGGAGACTATGCCTCTTTCTGCACTTTGAGAGATAATGGAAATGTGTGCAAATGAGATGTAAGTAGGGGACGCTGGTGGTAAGAAGGAGGTGCCCCTGCTGCAGCCTCAGTCCAGCTTCGACTATGACGACCATGATGAATAGAAAGGGGAGTGACCAGTGACCTGGGCTGTGGAGTCCAGTCTTAGGAAGGAAGGGAGGGAGAGGGGCTCTGGGGCAGCAGGGTGGGGCATGGCTTCTGGAGTCTGCTATGGGGGAGCCCTGGTGAGGAGGGTCCCAGGGTGTGACCTGAGATGAAAGCATCCTGGGAACAGCCGCAATCATCTCTGGCTGTGGAGGTGTGGGAGGGCAGTGGACAGAAGGGGGAGGATGCCACCCAGATGCATAGACATCGACCAAATGGCTTAGGTGACCGCCCCCCCCCCCCCAGGGTCTGGCTCCCTCCTATCTGTGTTGTGTTCAGGAGGATTCTGAGGCCCAGGGCCTCTCTCCTGAGGACCTGGGCACGTGGCCCTGCTTTCTCTGTGGTAGAGACGGAGGAAGAGAGTGGAGGCCAAGGGCACTAGAGTGGGAGGCCCCTGCAACTCCCCTGGAGGCCACCCCTCTGCCATCCTAGGAAGGTGAGTGTTTCTGGTCAACTCTTAGTCCAGCTCAGAGGAACTTCCCCTTAGTTGTGTCAAAACCTGGGAATCTGTCCCCTTGAGAGTATAGGTCACATGACCCGATGCCCTCCAGAGGGAGCCCTGAGGCCCGGAATTCCCAGTTGTGTCATGTGGTGACACAGCCTTGAGTTGGAAGATGTGAATTCAGATTCTGTCCTTTCATCAGCTGCTGTAATTTGGGGTGAATCACTGAAGTGCTCAGAGCCCACCTCTAAGGCTGGGAAAGAACCGGAGCCACTTCCCAAGTTCTCATGGGGGCCTGCGAGGAAAAGCATGTGGGCAAGGCTCGGGGCAGGGCAGGCACTTCAATGACGATGAAAAGAAAACGAAGGGGCCCTGGCTGGTGTGGCTCAGTGGATAGAGCATCAGCCTGCAGCTGAAAGGTCCCTGGTTTGATTCTCGGTCAGGGCACAGGCCGGGTTGCTGGCTCCATCCCCAGTAGGGGGCGTGCAGGAAGCAGCCATCAATGATTGTCTCTCATCATTGATGTTTCTCTCTCTCTCTCCCTCTCCTCTTCTCTCAGAAATCAATTTTTTAAAAACTGAAGAAAGAAAGGAGAGCAGCTCCAGGTCGACCCCTACCCCCTACTGTGGGGGCTGAGCGGCCAGAGAAATCTGGATTCAACACTCTTGGGCCATCTTTCTCTTGACTATCTTTGTCCTTCTCTGTCTCTCTGTGTCCCTCTGTCTTCCTTTCTGTTATGTCCCCTCATTCCCCAATGAAGGGCTTAACTCAGTACCTGGCCCCAAGACACACAATTCATTTTGCCTGCTTTTCTCAATGGCCTCTCTGTGGCTCCAGAGCCACCCCCACCCCCAGTTCTGTCTCTTTCCTCTTTCTGGGTCCCTGTTTCTGACCCCCTCTTTGTCCCACTCTCCTCCTGGTGCTCCTGCCCTCTGTTTCTCCAGCTTCTATCTCCTGTGAACAGGCATCCATTGACTGCTCACTAGATGCCAGGCACTGCCCTGCTCCTGTTGGGTCCTGTGTGTCTCGTGCCTCCTGCTGCTGTCTTCTCTCCTTCTGCCCCATAGGCCTCCTGCCCTCCCATCCCCCAGCTCCATTGGGCTCCAACACTGGTGTTATTCAGTTTTATGAGAAACCCCCAGGCCTACCCCTGAACGGACCAACCACAACTGGAACCAGATGTGCAGTGCTGCACATGGGGTTGGGAGGGAAGGAGAGAGGGAGGGAGGAGGGAAAGGGGTCTGGGCTGGCTCGAGGGGACTGGGGGATGGGAGATGGGAAACCCTGGGAATTCTGAGCCTTCATTGGCCAGGAGGAGGAGGAGTGGGGAGTGGAGAGAAAAGGGGCTGAGCAGGCTTCTGCACAAAGCAGTTCTCACTCTCTGTGTTTGTGTAAATGATGGTACAGACACTGGGGAAAGCGGGGGTGGATGATCATTTGTGGGACAGCTCTTGGAAATAAAGGGGAAGGCTGCTCCTCTTCTTTGAAACCTTTTAGCTCCTTGACTTCCTGTCTGTGTGGTTTCTAGAGACTTGCTGAATTCATGGTTCTGTGCCCAGGTGCCGGGAAAGAGGGGGTGATGTTGGGATGGGGGGGCGTGGAGCGTTTCACCACCCAAGCCTTCCTGAGAGCAGCTGGAGAAGGGTGTCTCTCAGAGTCCCCAGGATCTGCTGCAGACCTGGGTGGGTGGGATGTACCTGGGACATCGTGTATCTAATGGTCCCATGTCTTAGTATGAGCAGTTTTTCTGTCGGTGATTATATAGCTTTGAAGATAAAAGTCTGCCAATATGATCTTGGTACAACCTTGTGCAGAATTAAGCATTAAAAGTGCCCCTTTATTCAATTTTTTACCAATCGCCCATCTGTCCATCTCTTCACCATTCACTTATTCATTTCACCTTTATTGAGAGCCTGTTATGAGTCAACCTTGTGCTAGGCACTGGACAAATTAGGGAAGGGGAAGGAAAAATAAATCTTTGCTCAACTAATGGGAGATACAGAAATGCGCCCAACAAGTGTATATCTTGGCATTAGTAGATGAGCAAGAGCCTTGGGTGCTCAGAGGGATGGTGCCTACCAACTGGTGTGGCTGGAGAAGGATCCATGAAGGGTGTGTCTTTTGAATTGAGCTCTGAGCACTGATGAATAGACTCAAGAGGCAGTGCCATCACAGGGGGCTCTGGATGCCCCGCTGTAGAGCTGGGATTGGATGGTCGGGAGCAGGGGTGTCGTGGGGGAGGAGGGGAGCAGAGACTGTTGGATGTCAATCAGGATGACAGTGGGTGAGGGTCGGGAAGAGATGGGGAGGATGACACTTCTGCTGTGCTGTGACCCAAAAGGGGCACCTTTTATTTTCATAACAGACTCGCTACCCACCTCTAGGGGAGCCTAGATTGCCGACATGAAGTCCTCACTTCCCTCCCCTGACTAGGACTGATCCAGCCCAAGAGCAGCCCTTGGCCTGCAGGGGGTGTGGGGTCAGGCAGGATAAGGCTATTAGGAGTCACCTTTGCCCCAGAATTGGGGCTGGAGAGGGCTGGGCAGGGGTCTGGGAGGCCTGGGCCAGGTTTCCCTACTTAGTCCAACAGTCTCGGAGGGGAGTTCTGTGGGGCCTCGTCCCTTCCAGCTCTGGCAGTACCCACCGCTCATAGACTGAGGCTGCTGTCAGGGCTGGTAGGTTCTGTGATGCCAGAATTTGGGACTCTGGGAACCCAGACTTCTTACCTGGGAGGGGATGAGGTCATCATGCTCTGGAGGGAGAGGTGGGTATAATGACACCTCTACTTCCACCTTCCCCACACGCAGTCCTGAGAAGTGCCCCTCTCCCAGCCAGCCTCAAGGTTTCCCTGTTCCTGATGGGGTTGGAGAGCAGCTCTCTAAAATGCTGACCATCTCCCCTGTGACGCTGGCCCCCCAAATGCTTGTCCCTCTGGACCCCTCCCCTGTCACTTTATTCTTTGGAAAATTGAAGCCTGGGGAATGGTTTGGTTGAATTAATAAAATAGGTGAGTGTTAGAAGTGAAAAAAGAGCTTGAATAACTTTGGCTCCAATCTCATTGTACAATAGGGGAAACTGAGGCCCATAGATTGGGTCCCTGGCCCAGGACCTCACAAGAAGCTGGGCCGGATGGGAAAAAGAAGGGCCTTTCAATCTCTGAAGGGCTCCCACTCTATACCAGCCTGTGTTGTCTTGGACAAGTCCCCTAACTGCTCCAAGGTCACGGTCTTCAGCTAACATAGCAGGGTGACTCCCAGATTCAGTGAGAAAGAAATTGTTTAAGAGCCTGGCATACATTAGGTGTGCAGCAAATGACTTTTCCTTTCCCCTCCAAGTAATCCTATCTGCTTCTTCACTCTTGTCATTTATATGGCACTTCAAACTTTTCAAATCGCATTTCCCCCAATCTTTTAAATTATAAAACCATTTGTACATATAAAAATGTTGAAAGGATTTATGGTAAACACCGTGGATTCTATAATGAACACTTTGGCATATTTGCTTTCTCCCATTTCTATCTCTATATCCATCAACTCATCTTATTTTTTTGATGTGTTCAAAGGGAATTGAAGCATGCATTTTATTAGAGTTCAGTTCAAATCACTTTTGCATTTACAGTCACAAGTGCCCATAAGGAAAAAACAGATTCAGAAGTGAGATTCTAGCCCAGCCGGAGTAGCTCAGTTGGTTGGAGCATTATCCTGTTCATCAAAGGGTTGCCAGTTTGATTCCTGGTCAGAGCACATACCTGGGTTGTGGGTTCGATCCCCAGTTGGGGCGCTTGTGAAAGGAAACTGATCAATGAGATTCTAGGTCATCAGTCACAAGATGAGTGCTCTACAGAAGTTGAGGGTTGCTGTTTGTCATCATCATCATTATTATCATCATCTCACCAAACATCCTTGCCCACCCAGCAGCCCTTTGGCCATTTCTGTGCAGCTGTGTCTCTTCCATGGGGTCCTGCCCCCTTTCCCTACTTTGGCCCCACAAGCCCTTTGGCCCCTCCCTGCTGGTCCCCAGGGAGGCTGCTGGGCATGCCCTGTCCCAGGTGCCTGTGCCTTGCCACTGCCAGCCTGGCCCGAGCTGGGTGTGAGTGCTGCAGGGGTTAAAGGAGGCGGCCTCGGGGCGGGCTGCTGGCCAGCTCCGGGAAGGAGGCGGTGCATGCTTGCCCGCCAGCCACCACCAGGGGAGGGATCTGGGCGAGCAGCGCCCTCGCTCAGTTGCTCCCAGCAGTGGCCCTGGGGCCAGCTCTGCTCCCTGTGCCTGCTCCCCACCTGGACACAAGGCTCACTCACGCCCTCCTCTTGGCAACCAGCTTCTTGCCAGCCACAGCTGCTGCCCCATCACTGCCCACCGCCCTGTCCCGTGAGCCTAGACCCACCCCACCCTGGGGCTCCTCTGCCGGAAAGGTGAGTGTGGCGGTGCGTGTGCTGCTGGGCTGTTCTTACAGATGCTGTCAGGACCGCTGATCTGGGTGTAAACTAGGGGAGGAGGAGGTCAGCCCTCCCGGTCACATGTCTGTGAGCGAGGCTAGCCCCTCAGGCCAACCTGTCAGTCCTCCAGATGTGTCTGAGATTTTTGCAGGCATGTCTGGGGTGCGGTTGTCCGTGCTCGGAGGGGGAGAGGCCAGTTAGGAGTTTTGTTTGCTGGGGAAGTTACTGGTGTCGGTGGCTGCTGGACCCATGGCAGCAGAGGTGAGTGGGCAGGGACACATCTGCCGAGGAGAGGGGGGCGTGGGGAGGATTTCGTCTCCAGCCCTCTCTTCCCCTGCTGCCTGCCCATCACTGGGATGCCTGGGGGAGAGGACCCTGAGGAGAGCAGGCATTTTTCCTCTTGGTTTCTCTCCCTGCCACCAAGGAGCTGTTATTGGGCCCCTTTCTCCTCCTTGGGGTTCTTCTTGCTCCCATCTCTCTTCTCCCAAGGGCTGGCCGCGGCTGCTAGGGAGGGCCTGGCAGGCCCGGGAAGGTTGGAGTTAAAAAGCACTTCTCTCCGCTTGGGTCCATGCTCCCTGGCCCATGGGCACAGCCTGGCATGAGTGCCCCCCTGCGCCCTCCTCCAATCAGCATCTTACTCCTTCCTCACCCCTCTGGGCAGAAATGGCTAATCCAGGTGGTTAATGAACAGACACACACAGCTGCCTTTCACTCCCTCTCCTTCCTTTCCCCCACCCCTGACCCCCCCATGCCCTGCCTGCCACCCCCTCCCAAGCTGGAGAATCCATATAGAGCTAATCTCTGTCTGTCCCTCGCCCCCCAGTTCAGGACCAGGGCCAGGACTGCCTGCCCAGATGTGTCCTACAAGAGGAAACGGGGAGGGGAGTGGCCGAGGGTGACCAGGAGAGGCCTGCTGTGCTCCCAAGCTGGGCTCCCTGCAGGGGGTGCACCGGGGTTAGAGGACAGGATGGGTGCTGGGTAGGGGAGGGCAGGATGGGCGGTGGTGGGTGAGGCCAGGAGGGGAATTGGAGCTAGGGTTTAGAGTCTCTGGGGACAGGGGCGTCTTCTGGAAACCCCAGTGCCTGTTCCTTGTGGCAAAGCCAAGCCAGGGGGGTCAGGAGGGTGTGGAGGGAGCACTGTCTCCCATTGAGTCTCTGCCTGGCCCCTTCCTGAAGCTGCCTGGGTGGGGTGGGGACCATTGTGGCTCTGACTTGGCCTTAAGTTGCTCTTACCCCTGCCAGCTGGCAGCTACTTCTGTCTCCCCCACCCTCACTGTCCCCTAGGACCTCAGCACTTGCTACAGCTGAGCCACCTCTGCCCGACCCGCCGGCCCAGGGTGTGGAAGGGAGGACCTGGACCTAGCCCTGGTTGGGAAGCTGGGTGGGAGGGCTCCGAGTGGGCCCAGTGCTGGGTTCCTGTGTGGGGTTGGCCTTGACTCTGCTGCCCATGGAAGGCCGGGGCCTGGGAGGGTCTCGGAAAGTCTAATAGGACCGCCAGTGCTGACAGCCAGGACTGATTGGTGGTGGAGGAGGCAACTGCAGAACCTCTTCTTCCAAATCCCTGGCCTTGAACCATCTGGCTGTCCTCCCCCCTCCCCCATCCCATACTTTTTCATACTCCACTTTCCTCAGAGCCCCAATTTGGAGTCTTCGCCGGGGCTGTGGTGCCCAGCATGATAAACCCAGGATGCTGGTGGCCAGGTGGAGGGGAGCTGGGCTGGGGCGCAGCTGAGTTCAGAGATGAGGTTCCCCTCTCCTCGTCAACCTTGGGGTTTGGGAACTCTCAGTTCCGTTTCTTCTGAGGTGGGAACAGAAAGCCGAGGGGCAGAACGGATTTGTGTCGGTGAAGGAAGCTCACTCGGCTCCAGTTTAACGAAGGGCTTTCTAACAAGCCTGGCAGGTTCTCGAGAGAATGGCTGCCTTGTAAGGTAGTGAGCTTCCCGTCTCGGGGGGAGTTCAGACAGAGACAGGATAACAGCTCAGAAGGATTCCTGAGTTGGGATGTGGTTAGAAGGGATGACCTTGAAGGTCTCTTGGGATGCCGAGGTCCTGGGATTCTTGGAGTTGGGAAATTCTCTGACATGCGGATTGGGGAGCAGAAGGGGGGTAGCCTCTGGCCTGGGTGGGCATGGAGGGGGACCTGGCAGGGCAGGGCCTTCAGGGTTTGGGGAACAGAGAGGCTGCTCTCTGCCCTCACACCCATTGCTCAACCACCCACCGCTCTGCCCCAGCTGCTTCCTGCAAAGATCCTGAGTTTCTTCCGATTCCTCTTGTCCTGCTCCAAGCCTTGCCCTGCTGGTTAACCCCACAGTCTCTGGACAGACCTGTGGGCTGCGTGACATTCTGGGGTCGGAAGCAACACAGACCTCTACCCCCGCCTCCCCGAAGTCACAGCCCATGTCCCCCCTAAGGGGCTAACTCAGAGCCAGTGTGCCAGGACGGGGAGAGGGAGGGTTGCTTCCAGGTTGGGCAGCTTGAACCCCTGCCCAGTTTGCACACCCCCCAAAAAGGGGCCTCCCCAGCCTGCCTGGAGAGGGTAGGCAGAGGAGCGGTGCCAAGATCCAAGGTGCAGAAAAACCCAGGGGCAACTCTTCTTTAAGCCTCAGTTTCCAAATTTGTAAATAATACAGTGTTGTTGGGGCAGCTTGAAGTGGTTTGTGTAACTAGCAGCGGCGGGTAGGAGCCAAGAGTGCGTTCTCCAAGGCCTCTCAGGGGGAGCAGGGGCGGTGCAGGCCACCTCACCCCCCTGCTCTCCAGACCTGTTTTCCTAGGTGAGCGCGCGCGCGCGTGTGTGTGTGTGTGTGTGTGTGTGTGTGTGTGTGTGTGTGTTGGCATTAAAGATCCCTGTACACCTAACCTCCGGTGGCTTGGATTTCCCATGATGGGAGTGTCAAGGTGTGCTTTTGGGTGGGTGCCTCTAGCCGATGCCCCGTGACCCCTTTTCTCCTTAGTGGAGAGAGTGAAGGACTAGGGTCTGAGGTCATCCCTGCCTCCAGTCAGGGATGAAGTCCTTTCCAGTGTCTAACTTCAGTCCCCTGTCTTGAGCCAGGGACTAGGTGAGGCTGCTGAATTAGAACTTCTTCACTCTGGTTCCACAGAGACTCAGAGAGCGATGGCCCGGTGTGTGGGGCAGGGCAAGGAGATGCTGAATATGCCCTGGAGCTCAGAGAAGTCAAGGCGGGTGGGGGGAGCAGGGGGGAGGCAGCAAAGGCTCTCAGCTGCAGGCAGTTCTGGCTCTTGGCTTACTTCTGGGCCCTAAGTCTCTTTCACCCCAGAAAGGGCACGGAGGCCCAGCTGAGGGATGTGTACGGAGGGATGGCAGAGGAGTCAGGCAGGAAAGCCCTCCCTCCCAGTTGCTGGACTCTGAAGAAAGCAGATCAGAAATGGGTGTGGCGTGCGGAGAGGGAGAGCGGTTTGGGATACTGGAGCCAGGACTTTGTCCCCAGCGCTGTACCCCCAAGGCCCTGGCTCCTAGCTTCCAAAGCTATTAGGCATGCAGAGGTGTGGGCACCACTGAGCTGGAACGAGGGCAGTGGGGGCGGCAGCGCTGCCAGCCTGGTGGGCCATGCCCACTTCCCTGGGTGCCCCTCCATTATGCATGGTCACACTGGCCCAGCTCCTTCCTCCTTGCAAACAGCCCGAGGCACTTTCCCATCACAGCAGGCACAGCTGGGGCCCTGGTCGACTCTACCCAGTTTGGTGCTTTGGCCTTCTTCCTACTTGTCCGCACCTTGGTTTTCCTCGGGGAGGGTGGCTGGTCTCCACGGAGCTGGAGCTTGTGTGGGGTGGGAGTGGTGTGCCCAAGCCAGGGCTAGGCTGGGCTCTGTAATCCCTGCCTTTTTAGGGCTAGAAGCCTGTAGCTCAGGCTGGGTGTTCCGGGAGGCAGGAGGGACTGGTCCAGAAGGGCGGGGTATTGGAGAATTGATGGGGACAGAGGGGTTCCAGGAGTGCCTGAATGGAATCCTATTCTTCTTCCATATGGGAGGGTCCCAGTCCTACATCCGGGTCCCCTTCCCAGGCTTTCTCCAGCAGAGACTATGGGACCCCTCCGTTTTCCTGGGCCTTGAAAGATTCCTGTGTTTAGCTGGATTACAGACTCCTCGAGGGCAGGCCTGTGCCTTTTGCAGTGCCTGGCAGAATGCTGCTCAGCAGGAAGTGACTGACTAAGGAGGGTAGAGAGGTGAGGGGTTCAGACAGGGCCTGGGGAGGATTGGCTAGAACTGGAATCAGGGCTATTCACTGAGCGATCTAGAGTGAGGCAGAAAGTGTGACTCTGGAGCCAAGCCGCGGGGCTCAACTCAGGACGACCCTGTCCCTAGCCGTGTGGCCTTGGCAAATGACTGAGCCTCTCTGAGCCTCTGTTTCCTCAGCTGTAAACTGGGATAATAATAGTACCTGCTTCATGGTGTGGTTGAGAGGCTCAGTGAGTTAGTTTATTTAAAATACTTTGAACAGTGCCTGGCACATAGTAAGTGCTCAATAAATGATAGCAGTTGTTATTACTATGGGTGATGGTGGTGGTGGTGTGTTCTTCCAGGAGCCCACTGCTGGGATGACCCTGTTCTCTCTTATCATGGTTGCTCCACTCATAAAATGGGAGGATTATGGGATCAGAGAGTGGAGGAGATGGTGGGATTATGCTTCCTCAAGGGGTCATAGCATCAGAGCCCAGAGAACAGACTTCCCTCCTCCCTCTCTCTCTCTCTCTCTCTCTCTCTCTCTCTGACTGGGGGTGGGGTGGGGGGAAGCAGGGAGCTAAGGGGACCTCAAGAGGCCTTGACTGCCCAGGGAGCCGATGCAAATCCGTGTTTATGGAGGACTCTGAGAAAGTTGCATCACTGTAAACAAGATGCATGATTACAAACTAGTCCAAGCTCCCCTTCTTGGATTCTGTCCCATCCCTTGATGAGAATCACTGGATTGGAGACTCCCAGGCCTGGCAAGGACCTGCCCTGGCCTCCAGGCAGGCTGCTCTTG